GCTGAGGAAATAATTACATTTTCCCTTCTCTGTCAGCTCTGAACTGAGGTAAATAATGCTCTATGCTTTCTAGTATTCTAGAAATACTATACTTTAGAACTTGCTAAATTTCCTGTTTTCTAGTTAAATACTTAACTAATAACCTCTGCATTTCTTGACATGGAACAGTAAAACACAAATAGTAAGGATAATTATATTGAATGTAAATAATGTTATTACCAGTGTTGTAAATAATTTACAGTGCAAATAAAGATTAAAAAAAATAAATAAAAAGAAAAGATGTTCTTGTCCCTAATAGGGAAAACAAGACATAGTCTAACGATAGGTAAAGTTAGCAAGTAAACAATATAGTGAGATTTAGTGTGAAGTGTGTGCGTAAAGATAATTTGAAGTTCAAGAAAATCTTCAAGCAACTGGGTCTCCTTGAATGCATGATGATTTGAATGTGTGAAAACAGAAAGCAAGTGCAGTGGAAAAGAGAGTAGTGTGTGTGTGCTGTCCAGAGACACACACGATGGCTGGAGTCCAGCCTGGGGAGAAGGTGGCAGCACAGGTACTAAAGGTTCTGGTTCTGACTGACAAGAAAGCTCACGTTTTATTAGGCAATGATAAGGCAAAGGTTTGAGAGGACGCTACACTGCAGCAATACAGTATGAAGCATTTTATGATAGAAATTCCAACTTAAGCTCTCCTGTTATCTAACATTTTTGATTCTCTGAATTACAAGTGATTTATATTTTTACAAAATGTTCTCCCATTCTGTACTATTTTACAAAACATTTTAAAGCATTTCACTTATACCAAACTCCTCTTTGCTTGAATGAGTCCATATTAGACTTGATAATGAAAACAACCTTTTGTATTTTAAGGCAACAACAGGGAACTCTAACTGGCATTTTCAGTCACTGGGCAGAGACCAACATTTGCTCCTTTCATACACAGTATCAATGTCAGAACTGGCCTGAATCATTAGCAGGACATGAATACTTTCTTTCATTCCTACAATTCGACCTAGTCTTGTGACTATAAAACACAAACTTCTATTACATAATTGGGTTCAATATTTATAAGCACTAAAAGTACAGTCAATTGCTTGAAGCTATACAATAGAGAATAAAAAGTTATGCCATTGAAACTTTAGTTAAAACATTTCAACTATAAAATTAGGTAACTGACATAAAATCATACTGATTCTGAATAGGTTCAGTTCTTCATTATTCTGATTATGTTCATACAATACTGGAAAATATCATGAAGCAAAATTTTAGTTTTTCACTTGTAATCAGCAGAACCACATATTCGTTCTATATATTTACCACAAGGTTTCTTTTTATTTTTTTTAAGAGATTTTTGCTATAGGGTGGGTGCACTCACCAGAGAGAGACAGAGATACAGAAAGTAAGAAATCACCCCCTAAGCAGGATGGCTACACTGCAATCCCTTCTCCTCTAGTCTCCTCTCAGGATTTTGGGCACACACACACACACACACACACACACACGCCTGGCATGACATTTAAGCCTCTGGGTCTAGGACTTGAACCATGGCTGCCTATGTAGGAGTCCAGAGATATAACCATTATACCATCAGCTGGTCTACCATAAGGTATTTTGATTTACTATCTGGAATATAGTCTGTTTTCTCTTTTATACTGTCCTTAAAAAACTCTCAAAATTATCCTCCAAAGTAATTCAAATAATTCTTTTTCATTATATAATCTTTCCTAAGTTCTTAAAAATCTAGAAAGTTTAACAGTATAAAATTTAATTTCACTTTTAGTAACTTTTTTTGAAAGATTTCTTAAATCTTATTATTTTTTTAAAATTTTTTTCTATAGAGCATGAACACTCAGCAGAGAGAGAGAGTGAGAAAGAGAAAATGAGAAAGCAAGCCTCCAGGTCCTAGACTCAAACTGAGGTAGGCCATGTGGGAGCCAAGAGCCTTTAACTACCATGCCACCTGCTGGCTCCTCACTTTTAGTATCTTAATAGAGATAATACAGAGAAGAACTGATAGTCTCCAAATTACTTGATAAATGATACTAATCTTTATAGGACCCATATATTTTAAAAGTTCATTTATTTTCGAGCATCCATCAGAATTAAATTCTGGTGTTAAATGGTATTTGGTACAGCACAACTTCATATGGCCTAGGATGAGACTTCAAAAATGGAAACATTACTAATTATAATTAATATGTATTTAAATTGATCGAAATAAAAATACTTAAGGTACACACCTAACAAAATAAGACCTTTATACTGAAATCTGCACAAAACTGATGGAACAAATCAAAGATAAAAATAAATGAATAGCGCTACTATGTTTATAGATTAGAACATTCAATATAATAAAAATGTCAACTCTCTCCAAATTGATAAGTTTAATGTATTTCCTATTAAAAGTTTAGCAAGACTTTTTTGTATATAAACATAAGGTTATTCTAAGATTTTATAAGGAAAGGCAAAGGAACTACAATAATAGCTAAAGCATTCTTTAAAAAAAGGATAAAGTAGGGGGCCAGCAGATAGCAGTAGTGGTTACATTGCTAGATTCCCACGTGGCAGACCATGGATTGAGTCCTGGATCCAGTGGCTTTAAACTTACACTGGGTGCATGTGGGTACATGTCCAAAATCCCAAGAGAATAGAGGAGAAAGGACTGTGGCACAGCCAGTCCTAATGGGTGATTTTTTGCTTTCTGTCTCTGTCTCTCAGTTGGGGATGCATAGGCCTTATAGCAAAAATCTCTCTTAAAAAAAAAAATAAAAAGGATAAAGTAGAAGGAATTAACTTATTTGCTTATAGACTCATTATAGGAGCCAGCAGATGGCATAGTGGTTACATTGCTGGACTCCCACATCACTGATCATGGTTTGTCTTCTGGATCTAGTGGCTTCAAAATCATGCTGATCATGTGCATGTGTGTGCCCAAGATCCTTAGAGGAGAATGGAGGAGAAGGGACTGTGGCATGACCATCTTCCAATCTTCATTATATAATCTTTCCTAAGTTCTTAAAAACCTAGAAAGTTTAATAGCATAAAATTTCATTTTACTTTTAGTATCTTTTTTGAAAAGGGTTGATTTCTCACTTTCCTTCTCACTGTCTCTGTCTCTCTGTCTCTTCATTGTGTGCATGTGCCTTAAGGCAAAAATCTTTTTTTAAAAAAAAAAGACTCATTACATAACTACAGTAATTAAGAATGTTTAATATTGGTGGAGTGATAAAAATAACAATCAGTGGAACAAAATAGAGAATCCACAAATGACCATGTGCTAGACATTTCTGATGCTTCCTTGCTTTGTGAAGCAGTAAACTTACATACTACATGTAATACTCTATTTTATATTATGTATATTACACACTATGTATTTTATTCTCTACCACTGAAGTGAGTCCTCTACTCTTGAATGGCTTGCAATTTTGTCCGTTGTGCTTTTCTGTTTTGAACAATTAGTTATCTACAGGTTTTTTTGCAGTATAACAACAGTCCTCCTTTTTAAGTTACGGTTGTATTCTAAAAAGTCAAATTTGAGAGCCGTTTGGCTGTATATAAATACAGGGCATCTGTAAAAGATGAATTCGGTACTCACCTGGAAGTTGTTCATTAGGCCGTATGGACAAGGATTGCTTTCACAAAATGAAAAGTCAAAGTTTAACTTGCAGGCTGCAGAAGTACAATTTGTCAGCTCTGTTACGATAGTGTCATTCACGTTCCCGGTGGCATCTCGAACAACACAAGAACCTGGACACGGATGGCAAAGAGAATAACCTAGCTATCATCTCTATTTATTTCAGAATTATGTGCACTAATAAAGAACTCAAAGTACTGACTACATACACACTTACTCTAATAGCATATGCTACATTTGCAGTAAGCCAGCTTTACCTTGAAGAGGATTTGGAAAGCACTTGAGTCTCTAATATTTAAGTACTGACACTGAACCTTTTCTAAGAAGTAGTGTTACATGTATATACTTAAAAACCTTTTAAATATAGGTATCAAAATGGCATATCAGCAAAACTATTTCCTGGAATATCTGAATAAGATGCCATTAAGCAAATATAAGCACACTATACTCAGAGTTCCAAGTGGCAGAAATGTTTTCTTATATTCTAAATATTTTATACTTGAAATGTGGCTAAAGATCAGAATATAGGTAATATAAATTTTCTTTGAGGAAATGTGAATATTAATTAATTAAAATTCTGTTTAAGCCTTTATCTCAAATACAATTAAGAAAATAAATAATAGCTGAGATTTGCTTAAAAGTAATCCACAGAGTAGTGTCTGAGCATAGATGAAACAGATTAACCAAGTAGTAGGCCAGCTGGTGGCATGGTGGCTAAGGTGATCGAATCCTAGTGGTCAAATGTCTGGTTCAAGTCCCAGATCCAGTCATTTAAAAAACAAGGAGCATGGTCATCCCCTCTGGGGAGTGCTATTCTCTCTCTCTCCCCAGCCCCCTGCCTCTCCAGTAAGTACACATACTCTTTAGCAAAACTAAAAAAAAAAAAAGGGAAAGAAACAAAACAAAAAGATTGGGGCCAGCAGGTGGCACAGTGAGTAAGGTGCAGGACTCAAATATGGCAAACCATGGTTCAAGTCCTGTACCTGGTGGCTTAAAAATCACACCAGGCTCGTGTGTGTGCATGCTCAAAATCCCAAGAGGACAATGGAGGACAAAGTATTGTCTCTGTGGGACCAGCAGTTAGCGTAATGGCTATGTCGCTGGACTCCCATGTAGTCGACTGCGGTTCAAGTCCCGGACCGGTGGCTTAAACTCACGCCGGGCAGGTGTGCATGCGTGCGTGCGCAAGATCCTGAGAAGAGAGTTGAGGAGAAAAGACTGAGGTGTGGCCATCCCCCCTGGGGGTGATTTCTCACTTTCTGTCTCTCTGTCTCTGTCTTATGGTGAGCACACGCACCCTATAGCAAAAACCTCTCCAAAAAAAAGAAAAAAAAAAAGCTCTCTCTCTGCTTTTGCTAAAATTGAAACTTCAATAATACAACATTTTAAAAGATGACTTATTCAAAAACAGCATTTCATTATTTGGAATAACATATAATGTACAACAAGTAGTAATAACCATTTTTTAAATATTTTTTTAAATTTAACTTTATGTATCTATTCATTTATTTATTTTAATTTGACCAGAGAGGAAGAGAGAGAGAGAGAGAGAGAGAGAGAGAAAGCAAGCTGCCAGGGCTGGGACTCTCACTGCAGTCAGCCATGTGGGAGTCCAGCACCCTTAACCACCATTCCACCTGCTGGCCCCAGTATTAACTATTTCTTACACTTCATATCTGTTCACTTTCTGAAGTGCTCAACTGTTACTTCATCATATATGAGGTAGGTACTACAGCAAACTGCTTGAGAGGAAGAATATTTTAATGACTAAACAGATTACATACTATTCTTTATTCTTTTTTTTTTTAATTTGCCAGAAGGCACGTATGCTCACTGGAGAGAAAGGGACAGAGAGAGAGAACCACCCCTCTCCTCCAGGGAACAGTCACACCACAATGCTTTCGTCTCCATTTCTGGGCACCTGCTCACCAGAATTCTCAGCATGTTTTTCAAGTCACTAGGTCTGACGTGCAAACCACACAGTCTGCCATATGGAATCAATCTCACGTAACCACCAGGCTACAGTCTGACCCCACAGTTCTTTATTCTTCAGTTTCTTCATCTACCTTCCAAAGTATCTGCAAATCACGTTTCCCATTAGGGATGAAAAACGGAGCCTTGTCGCTCTCACGAGCCCTAGAACAGCTATATTACATATATGCTTCTTATTATGATGTTCTGTCACTACAATTTTGGGGGAAAAAGGTTCCATTGCTTTGAACTAGTTATATAACCACTGGTGCAGAAACAATCTTTACTGGCCTGGCTACGAACATCAGGGGAAAGGGCTGTTCCTATCGCTCCGAGAGTTAGTACTGACAGGACAATGGCTGAGGGCCGGGAGCTTCAAACAATCAGATAAAAGCAGGTGTTATCTGCTGTCACAAATTATTTTAAATTCAAAACATAATTCATTATAGTATCCTTTACATAGATAAATATTCTTTAGGTAGTTTCTAAGGAACACCACTGTATTTTGCTAAGCATATAATATGCTTAGAACTCGTATACACACATTTCATCAGTATTTTTTTTCCAAAGTGATTTTCAGAATGAATTTATGAACTATAAGGATAAATGAAATTCAGATCCTTTTGAAAATGCGAATTTAGCCCACCAGGATAATACTGTGAGTATTTCTAACTCTTATTTAGTGAAATTTCAAAATTACTTTAGACATATATTAGGTTGTCAGAAAAGTCATGATGCATTTTTGCATAGAAAAAATACATGATAACTTTTCCAATAACCCAACAGTTTGTAACTATAATTGTTACCTAGCAACAAATTAGTGACTATATAGTAAATATTTCATACTGAAATACAATGAAAGCTTCATATTGCATAGACTATAAATTTAGAGTTTGTGATTTATACTGGTACTAAATTAAGACTTACTTTTGTATTATGCTTTAAATATAACCTTAGAGTTCAGACACTTAAAAGAATGCTTACATATTACAAAAACATATTGAGACCAGCAGGTGGTGTGGTGATTAAAGGTGTTGGGACTCCCACATGGCTGACTGCAGTTTGGAGTCCCAGACCCAGGGCTTGAACTCACGCAGGGCATAAACATGCCCAAGATCCCGGGAGAAATGAAGAAGGGATTGTGGTGTGGCCATCCCCCGGGGGGTGGTTTTTCACTTCCCTTTTGGCTGTCTCTCTCTGACTTGTGCCCTATGGCAAAAACCCAAACATATTTTCTGGCTAAAGTATACAGTTTCATGAAAGTGTAATGAACTCAAGATAATTTATCTATAATCACTGTATGCAAACTGTATGTAAAGTAAGTGATTAACTTTATCCCCAGAGTTTTCTGGACTAAACTAGTTAAGTAATTTTAAAGAATCTACATACACCATAATTAAGTTTTTAAAGACTTAATGAAAAACAAACAAACAAAAACCCTTGCCCTGAAAGTAAATCTTTAGAGCTAGTGGCTAGTTATTTTCAGTAGTGAATTTTTTTACTTTATTGTAAAATCACTTATCTATATCACAGGAATTTGGAGACTAATACAACACTTAGGTCCTTTCGAGTTCTAAAATGCTGTAATTCCATGAATGTACTAAAATGGTTTTAAACCCATTTCATTCAATTCAATAAAGCTTTAGTAAGATTTTTCATTTAACTTAGTAATATACTAGCTATAGTTAAAAAAAAAAAGGTAGGCATTGCTTAACCACCATAACGAAGCTACTCAAAATTTTTAAGGATCAGAGAGTAAAATTCATTTATTTCTACATATGAATTGTGTTTTCTATAAATACATCAGTGAAATTCAAGCATTTGTAAATATTATTTATATAATTTTTGAATTGATAAAAATGCTGAAGGAGATACAATAAAGCAGTTGGTGGTTGAGATAACATACATTAAAAAACTCATAGTTTTCTTAAAACCATTTTTAAATTAAATTAGGAAATTAGATAACATACATTAAAAAACTCAGTTTTCTTAAAACTATTTTTAAATTAAATTATGAAAAGTAATCCCATGTCTTCTATTGAAATATTTCTGAATTTAAAATTTCAAAAATGATATTAAAATAAATTTTTATAGTATACATCATGAAATTTCTGCAACATATAAAGAAATGTAAGGCTATTTACCTACAGATACTGCAATTCCTACGTAAACCAGCGTAGTAATTAAAATGGCTAAGAGTGTTCCTTTGGGTATGGCTGACTGAGGATCCTAGAAGACAAGAAGATTTTTTAAGTCTATCTTTAAAAGTAAACATATGCATACTACTATTAATGTATACTTAGTACATTATAATACTTACTGCAAGATCACCTGAGATATTTGCTCCGGCCAGAATACCAGTTGCAGCAGGAAAAAAGATGGCAAACACAGAAAAGAAAGTCTCTTCCTCTCGAAAATCTGGTCCAAAGTTCTCATTAAATATTTCAGCTGCAGTCAAGAAAATATTTTTGGCAATTAATAGCACGCAGATTAGACCGTGATAATTTAGATCAAAAGTAACTGGTATATATGACTGCTACTTTACTTCAGTTCAAGTCACTGGTAAATTCTTACCGTATTTCCTAATTCAAAGACTAGTTACCCTCTTCTCCCATATGAGGGGACAGTTTACAGTCAAATGATTATCTGAACTGGGTCATCTCCCACTTCTCTTATACTTTATTATGTTTCAAGAGCCTCTGAGTTAATATCACTAGTCCAGATTATTTGTAAATGAAAGTGTAGATAAACCCCCTAATCTTGAGATAAAAAAAGTAAGACAGGAGGCAGGAAAACAAAAGAAACATCACAATAGTAGGAAACTAGTTTTTGTTCACTCCTAACTTCTACCTTACATTACTATCTGTATAAAAACTAGCCCATAGCCTTTCTCTTCTACTTCTGGTGAAGACCTATTTTATTTTTGCTGCTACACATCAGGCTGCCAGATAATCTTAGCTAAGGCACTCTATGTAAAGGTCTTTTCTACTTCAACAATAATGAAAGCTTTAATTAGTCTCACTGTTTTCATTAATTCTGAAAAATAGGCTCTGACACTAAAACAACTATCATTTATCTATCTATCCATTTAATATCTCAGCATCTTTCATGTGCCAGATTCTGTTCTAGGGCTATTTTGTATTTTAAAGTGCCCCCCAAAAATAATATGAACTGGGCCAGACTGTGGCATGGCGGTTAAGACACTGGATCCCACACGGTTAACACTGTGGTTCAAGGTTAGAGTCCCAGACCTGGTGGCTTGGAAAATATGCTTGGGTGCATATCCAAGCATGCTCAAAATCTTGAGAGGACAATGAAGAAGGTATTATGACATGGCCATCCCCCTGGGGAGTGGTTTTTCACTTTCCCTCTCTGTTTCTCTCTGGCCAGTGCACATGTCCTATGGCAAAAACCTAATAATAAGTTAATTAATTAATTTAAATATACAAGTGTGTGTGTATGTGTATATATATGTATATATGTATATAGGTGTGTATATACATATGTATATATATGTACATATATATATGTATATGTATATATACATACACACACACACACATATATATATATGGTCATCAAGTTAGACATGGTTCCTCCCTTCATGGAACTTGAGTCTCAAAGGGGGGGGGCTCAGCAAATGGCATAGTGGTTCTATTGCTGGACTCTCACATGGTTGACTCCAGTTCAAGCCCCGGCCTCAGCGACTTAAGACTCATGCCAGGCATGCGTGCTCAAGATCCTGGGAGGAGAAGGGACTGCAGTGTGGTCATCTCACCTGGAGGCCAATTTCTCACTTTTCATTGTCTGTCTGTCTCTCTTTCTGGTGAATGCATACACCCTAAGGCAAAATCTCTAAAAATAAATTGAAAAAAAAAAAAAAAACCTTTCAACAGGGAATCAGCAAATATGAAACAAGGTCATCATAAAGAACAATAAATCTACTGATGGAAGCAAGATACTGTAATAAAGAATAAAAGAGAATCTAATTCAGTGTGATTACAGAAGACTACAGAGATCATTAAAGAGGTAATACTAGGGACCAACAGTTAGTGTAATGGCTATGTTGCTGGACTCCCACGTAGTCGACTGTGGTTTGTGTCGCGGACCTGGTGGCTTAAAT